TGACAAGCCACCCTCTGATTAATGAAATAAGTTGGTATCGGTTCATGGTATCGGTTAACTTTTACGAGTATGAGTACACACACATTTTACAGTATCGGCCCCGATACCCGATACCAGTATCGGTGCATCCCTAGTTAACTGGCAATGTGAGGGTGCCAAAGGGCTTAAAGTGAATGAAATAACACGCTGTATGAGTGCAGTTAATCTGTGTAAGTGTTTATTGAGTCTACTCTATCAGAAGGTCTGGTGAGCAGGAACTCAAATAGAGTGAGGGAACACTGGAGGCAGATCGGTTGCCTGATGACCTGGTGCACCTGCCAGATTTTTTAAAACATGAGATAACTGTGTGGGACAAGCAGTCAGACTGCAGTTTAGATCCATAAAATGAGAAATGCTCATCATCTCAGTTGAGGGTGTAAGGACAGTGGATGATGTTTGCGCTTCAGACCTTTGATGTCTATGTTGTTGATGTTTTGTGTTTTTAATTTATGACTTATTTTGTTGAACTTCTATTTCATTAGTGCGTAAGTTCACTGACAGCGATTAGAAGCAGTCAGTTTTCTTGTATGTACACACATGCTGTGGCCAGGAAAGCTGATTCTGATTCCCACAGAGAAGTTCAACACACATCTTAAATGTGGCAACACAAAAAAGCAAATATAATATCACTGCAACTACAGAGTTACCAGAAGTTAATTCATGGTCACACTCTCCCCTTCTGTTCCTGATCATGGCCTTTAATAGTGGCCAGAAAAAAAAGGGTTTCTGCAGAAAACTGTGATTTCACAGTGAAGCTGACCTCTGACCTTTCGGATATGAATCGTCATCACTCGTCCAAGGTGTTCCTGAAATAGCATGTTTACAAGAATGGCACAGACAGACAGATATATAATAACAAGTGTTCTTTCGCTGGCAGTGCTGCATTATCTTTTATTCATATCTTTATTTCTGCAGGTGTAGCAGCGCTATCAGCCGCCTTTATCTTGAACATAAACCAGTGCGATCAATGTAGAGGCCCAGGTTACGAGCATTTACCTGACAGCTTTGATGTGCATGGGTTGAGAGTGTCTCAGCCTTTCTCTGGAGGGGGAAGAAGAGGGCAGGGCTGGGGTGTGGCGACGGCTGTGTCCCAGGTAGGAAGAGTGCACCTGATGGTGGTGGTGAGGGGCGTGGCCGTTGTTTAGAAGAACCGCCGTGTCTGTCTGTGTGGAGTACACACTCTCCATAGAGGAGTTCATGTCATTCACCAGCTGCTCCAGATCCACGTCATCATCTGTGGATGCAGGTGGACAGCGGGATGAGCGAAGGGAGAATGAAATGAGTGACAGTGATGCATTACATCTACAAGCAGCTGACAGTCATCAAAATCATCCCAGTGTAGTTTAACACTACAGCAAGTCAGTGATGGAGAAAACACAGCTGTGGAATCACAAGCAGGACAGTAAAGAAAAGAAAGGGTGACAATGCTGCAGCGCCCCCTGCTGGATGGCAGGACTACAAACTAAAATATAAATTAAAAAAAGTTATTTTTCACATTGTATTACACAACATTTTTATTTTAAGCAGGTTGTGTTATAGGCTCCATTATGAAAACGACACAGCATGCTCACCACACTTGGAAGTGTGGAAGACAGCGTGGGTATCAGGGGCGCTACCAAAGGGGGGCAGGGGCGGGGCACTGGCCACACCCCAAAATGGAAATTAACTAGGCATATAAATATTTTCTTTCTCTCTTTTTTGCCATATTTCTTTTATTTTTAACCTATATTTGACAACAGCATAATAAAACTGGAAATTCTGCCATCCTGATATTTTTAGTGGCCCCTCATATGGCCACCACTATGAAAGAATTCTGGAGGCATCCCTGCCGAGTATCTCAGCTAAACTTTTACCAGCAAGAGAAAAGGTAGCCAAGAAGTTAGAAGTTTCATCAAACACAATCCTGATGCAAGAATGCTTCCGGAGGACGAGAATTGCCAACTTATTTCAACTCACATGCCCAACTAACCCTATTAAAACATGTTCCCACGCCTATCTGCACAGTTTTCCCGCCTCAGCAGGCTCAGCAGTTGAGATAAAAGACTCAGCATAAGATGTAAAAAAAAGAAAAAGAAAAAAAAGTGGAACCAATAAAGTCTGATTAGAGAGACAATTGTGTCAGTGAACCTTTTCTTTATCTATGTCTGCAATTAAACACAGACTGGGCACTAGTTTTACTTTGAGCAAACAGCTCATAACCTTTGTATCATGTCTACAGTACATACTGAGACAATGACACTGAAATCTCAATGGCACTTTGATAGAGCAGCAATTTAAGCAATAAAAATATTGCCATAAAAACATCACGGCCCTGAATTATCAAGCATGACAGCAGACAGAGAGAGCGAGAGAAAGCACAGCCCTGATGTGAAGTATCATTCTTCCTTGTGTTGGATTCCTCTTCAGCTTGGATTTCATTCAATTCCTGTGTAGTACACCACCTCCCTGGCTTGCCTTTGGCCTAACTGTGTGTAAACTGTCATTCGAGGGGCTGACAAGTCTTCCTGGCAGCCGGCAGCAGTTTCGAACCAGCACTCGCCCACAGACCAAACGACTAACCAAATCAAACTAGAGCGAATGGGCCCCTGGTCGTGCAGGTCAGATGTCGACGCCGATCTTTTACCATAAACTGTTATTAATTAGCTAAAGCCAGGCCCGGATTTGCAAGCCCCACTTTGGGCTTCCCTCAAGGCTTTGATGCTGTTCATGTGCTACTTTCTGATGATGAATTGGTTCACTTCTCGCAGCACTCTATAATGCAAAATGAAATGCCCTCTGGGGACAGATGGAGATAATCCTGTGTATGGCAGTCATTACTAACCATTTTCCAACCTCGCAGCAACAGATTTTTCTACTCTAAACTTTCTAAAAAGTAAATGTGCACTGTCAGCTTGTGGGGGAAAAGCCTGCTAGCGGGAGAGAAATCTCTCTAGTGAATCAACTTTTACATAAGCTCTGTTAAACGTCCTCACAACTGTGGTCTCAATGTGTTTCGCTATGTGTGTGTATGTGTGTCTAAAGGCCTTTGGTCCTCTGTAAGTCCCACCCCAACACCACACACAGAATTCCTGACATTCCTCTCAGACGAAATTACAGCACTCTGGGAACGTTAACCAGGCCTGTTCATGGCACATGGTGGCCAAATGACTGGGACAAAGTAGGACATCAAAACAGACACACAGGAATGAGGACAGGACACTATGTGCACTCTGCAGCGCTGATGTACATGTGCGTCTAATTAAAGAGGAGAAATTTAAAAAGAAACGCAGCAGTGCACCGAATGTACACAAACACTGTGAACATACACAGTGAGAGCAGGGGGGAAAGCTGCTGCACCAAAAACAACAGGAGTCGCTCATCTTAGGTTATAAAGAGTTATGCATGTCACCCGCACACACAAACATAGAGCACAGTCTGGGACATTGGGTCATGTGATGCTGGGGTTCATGAGTGGGACATGGTTGCTTGGGTGGGGGGGAGGGGGGGCTGTGTGTGCAAAAGATGTTCTAGGAAAAGAACAAGACCACGCATGAGGAGAGACAGTCATGGCTATTATATAAAGATGTAACATAATGTGGACTCGTGATCCTTCCGTAGCATAATAAAAGTTACTCTACTTTGTGATTTTTAGTAAAAGTTGCGTCCTTAAGAAGCAGGACAAGTCCAGCCAAGACCTGACAGATACATCTGGCCCTTCAGTTAATCCATTTATTATTCCCTGGATCCTCATCAGAAATGGTCTCAGTGGACGGATGGCTTTAGAGAGAAAAGTCTGAAGTATAACAAATTACACAGGAAGTGTAGTAACAGTGTAGTGTAGTAACACATTGACAACAGGTTGTTGTCAATGTGTTACTACACTACACTGTGTTACTACACTACACTGTTATACCTCCACCCACATTGACAACAGGTTGTTGTCAATGTGGGTGGAGGTATAACAGTGAGTGTCTATATCCATCTATGAAACATAGTGGAGGCTCTGTCATGGTTTGGGGCGACATTTTACATTGAATGCAACACAATGAAAAGTAGAAATGTACCATAAGATCTCGACACAGATTTTTTTGTCTGATTAGCAAAGCCTTCACCGCCAGTGCAGTAAACGCACACTTGGATAGAAAAACACACAATAGCAATGTATCAACCCATAGGTTGGCCTCACAAGAGCCTAAACCACAACATTACTGAAGCAATGTGGGTTCATCTAGACAGAAAACAGAACAAAAGGCAGCCAACATCC